CCAAGTCCTTACCCTCTGTATACCGGGGGAGTCCAGCACCGGTCCGGGAGTGTGTGTGCACGCGCGAAGCATGCGCACGCCGCAACCATGTCACCCAGAAGTGACGCAACCACATCGGGCACGCCGGGGGCGGAGCCGAATCATCCGAGGGAAAACCATAGGGTTTTCCCTAGGATGACCGCGGCTCCACCCCCAATGCGCCCGACGTGACTGCGTCACTTCCGGGTGACATGCTGACGCTGGGCACGTCGCGTGCTTTGGGGGGTGGGGTTCCCCCCAGGCCCGCTCCGCCGGCAGTGGGTAACAGGCTTCTCGGGTGGGGATTTCCCCGCCCCCCGGGGGGACTTAGCAAGCCTAGAAGGAGCCTCAGACCGTTAGAGTCAAAGCTGGGAACCGATAGCGCTCCCACGGTTATTCCCTCAGCTCCAAACACTACACCACTTGCACATCTTATAGATAACAGCATTACAGCACAGAAGAAGCACAGAAGGAATGCAGCGTTAATTAGTACACATAAAAGGGAAGCCGACGGCCTCCTGAACTATCAAGGCAGCGTAGCTAACAAGGAGGCAATTTCCCCTGTCAGCAGCGACTTCTACATCTGTGGATTTCCCCAGGAAATGTCTTAGGTTTCCCTTTGCAATGCAAATACCTTTCCTAATTGGCCCATCCAAATGTCCCAAAATAGCAAGCAGAAATATGTGAGTTTAGTAAAATACTTAATCACTCCAGAAGTTAAGCAAACAAACTGAATAAATAAATCAGGGAGGAGTGGGGGAAATGTTGTGTTTCCACCTTAACTGCAGAGTCTGTCTGCAGCCTGTAACTTGGGAGACCAGGGGGTGCCCCAGCCTCAGACCCCAGGGGAAGGGCTGCAAATCGGATTTCAAATTGCACTAAAGGATCCTGAAAAGAAGCAGCCGGGGGGGGGGGGGAACAGACCCAAACACAGTCTAACTATTTAGGTGTTACATGGGTTCTAGATGCATTGCAGTGATCAGCTCTGGTTTATTAAGTGATTTCAGCAAACTACAAGACAAGACTAGCAGGGCTTGAGCCCTGCTTATAAAGCCTGCAAACACCACACTCAGCACACACCCACTCTCAGTGATAGGCTATTTACATGATACTGCTTATCGATTGGTTAGTTCCTGGATCCAGGCAAGCTATTGTTCTAGAGAAGCAAGCTCAGACCGTTCTAGGTACAGCTTGAGGAACGGCTTTAGGCTCAATACATAACATTAGGATCAGTGTTCCCTCTAAGCTGTGTTAGTGTGAGCTAGCTCACAGTTTTTAAGCCTCCGGCTCACACATTTTCCCCTTAGCTCGGGAAGGAGGGCTCCAGAGCAAACTGATTTCTGAAGTAGCCAAATTGCTCACTCACAACTTTAATGCCAGTAGCTCACAAAGTAGATTTTTTTGCTCACAAGACTCCACTGCTAAGAGGGAGCTTTGATTAGGATATATGTCTACATTGCATCTTTGAAGTCCTGTGTGAGACACTTTAATATAAAAACCAACCACTGCAAACAACCCATTGGACATAAGCAGAATAAAAACTAGCCATAAAACAGAAGCAGACCATTTTAAAAGCTGGGAAGGTAAATCCCTAAATTAGAAGCCAGGGTGAAAAGATGTGTTTTGGCTTGGCACCTAAGGGAGAGTAAATTAGGCACCAGGTGAGCCCGGGAACCAAGTCCACCACAGACATGAAGAGAGAACACTTGCTCTGAACCAAAATGATTTATTCATTCTTAAATCCATACACAAGCAATGCTCAACAGCATATAGAAAATTCCAATAAGATCCAAAAAACCCAGCTGCCTGTTATAGTGCACTGTACATTTAATACAGAAGGAACATTCCTGGCTGTTCAGCAAGGACCCTCAGAAGAGCTGTTGGCAAACAGCCCTGAACAAAAGCTAACATGGGCAATATATAACTCTCGCACTGTCAGTCAATTTATTTTATATATTTATTGATTTGATTTATACCCCGCTCTCCCCACCAAATGCAGGCTCAGGAAAGTGACTGTAATGAGTTCAAGTTATAAGTGCGTGTTTCTTTAAATGTTTGGTAAGTTTCAGAAGAACGGGGGGGGGTGAAAGAGGGAGGTGAGTGAGGTGATTGGTGGGTGACTGAGTGTGTGGGCGGAGCTAAGAAGTGTGTGTGTGTGTGGAGAGAAGGCAGAGTGTGCAGTCAGCAGCTGTCAGTTGTGGTCAGTCGACACTGCACGGGTGTCGAACTCATTTGTTATGAGGGCCGGATCCGACATAAATGAGACCTTGTTGGGCTGGGCCATGCGTGTCATTAAATGTAATGCCAGGTAGTGGAGATATAAACTTGATAAAGGACACAAACACAAAGGGTTCTTTTTTACTTAAAATCATGCTTAAAACATTAACACTCTTGCAATATTTTGTTTATTTAACAGAATCTGACAACTTTCCCCTTTTGCTCTGAATTAATGCATCAAAATGTCTTTGCTGTTGCAATCTTGAGTATTTTGTTCAGGTGTGTATCTCTAAACTGCAAACCTACAATGACGCAGCAGCAGCAGCAGAATTGGAACAAGCAGAGAACAACCAGTTCCACTGCGGGCCTGACAGGCCTCCGGAGGCCTGATCCGGCCCCCGGGCCACATGTTTGACACCCCTGGTCTACAGTCTGAGACGCAGTCTTCTAATTAGAATCCTACAGAACTGCTGTGATAGGCATTAAGGTTCTAAAGGAGAAAGAAACATACTGCAGGGGGGGCATATTAGGCAAAATCTAATATTGTCAGGCAATGCTCCCTCTAAGCTGTGGAGTCTTGTGAGCAAAAATTCCACTTTGTGAGCTACTGGCATTAAAGTCATGAGCGAGCGATTTGGCTGCTGCTTAAATTAGTTTGCTCTGGAGCAGTGTTCCCTCTCAGCTGAATTAGTGTGAGCTTGTTGTTGTTCAGTCGCACAGTCGAGTCCAACTCTCCACGACCCCATGGACCAGATCACACCAGGCCTTCTGGTCTTCCACCGTCCTCTGAAGTTTGCTCAATTTCATGTTCGTTGCATCGGTGACACTGTCTAATCATCTCATCCTTTGCCATCCCCTTCTTCTTCGACCTTCAATCTTTCTCATCATCAGGGTCTTCTCCAGTGAGTGCTCCCTTCTCATTTGGTAGCCAAATGTGAGCTAGCTCGTAGTTTTTTAGCCTCCAGCTCACACATTTTTGTCTTAGCTCACGAAGGATGGCTCCAGAGCAAAGTACTTTATGCAACGGCCAAATCACTGGCTCGCAAGTTTAATGGCAGTGGCTCACCAAGTAGAACTTTTGCTCACAAGACTCCACAGCTTAGAGGGAGCATCGCTCTGGAGCCATCCTTACTGAGCCAAAACAAAAAATGTGTGTGCTGGAGGCTAAAAAACTGTGAGCTAGCTCACACTAACTCAGCTTAGAGGGAACACTGTTGTCAGAGTATTATAAGAGTGTGTGTGTGGGGGGGGGGAGAAGCTGACTGAGACGTGAGTTAAAAAGGGAAAGACTTTACTGAGCAACATAAAGTTTGGAGAAGGTATATTCACTGAAGGGACAAGTAACAAAACATCTTGTAACCAATACGCATCTTGTGCAAATAAAGTTTTATCTTGTTTATTGCTAACCCAGAGTCATATGCTGTTTAAAATAGAAGAATCTCCTCCTTGGAACCACATACTCCATCGAAGGAGCCTTAGAGCCTGGGCACAATACTGTGGGAAAGCTGAATTAATAAGACTGGAATTAAATTCCTGGTGGCAGTGTTACATACCTTGAGTGAAAGAAATAACGAGAAATTTATAACCACATCATACCTAACCACACAAAAGAGAAAGGTAGCATGGGAGTGAAAAACTGAGGTCCACCCACCAACATCTTCTGGTGGTGCCCGGCCCCATGGACGTCCGACTTGCTTCAACCAGAGCCAGGGCCTGGTGGAATGAGCTCCCGTGTGAGATCAGGGCCCTGCAGGGTTTACTACAATTCCACAGGGCCTGCAAGACAGAGCTCTTCCACCACGCCTTTGGTTGAGGCAGAGGTCGTCCCCCTCCTTGGGTTACCTCCATCAGTAGCCTGGGTCCTTTGAGATCCTAAATTTTAAAGATCTCCCAAACAAAAACTTAAATTTTAACATCATTAGCAACTGAGACATGCTGGTTTTTACTAGAGTTGTATTATGCGATGCCGTATTTGTATTTTAAAATGTAAATTATGTTTTTAAATGTTTTAACTGTACTGTATTTTATTGCTGGAAGCTGCCTTGAGCCCATCAAGGGGAGAGCGGGATATAAATCAAAAAAATAAAATAAAATAAACTTGTCAAGACCCAACCCCTGCATACATTGACCATATGAACTCTCTTCAAAGTTAGTTTACTATCTGGTAGGTCAAGAAGCTCCAGACAGCTTTTCACTCAAGATGAGGGGCTAAGGTGGCTCCTAGCATGGCAGTCAGAGAAAGCCAGTTTGGTGGAGTGGTTAAGTGCGCAGAGGACTCTAATCTGGGAGAACCGGGTTTTATTCCCCGCTCCTCCACTTGCAGCTGCTGGATGACCTTGGGCAAGCCATAGTTCTGTCAGAGCTGTTCTTGAAAAAGAGCAGTTTCTGTCAAGAGCTCTCTCAGCCCCACCGACCTCACAGGGTGTCTGTTGTGGGGAGGGGAAGGGAAAGACGTTTGTAAGCTGCTCTGAGACTACATTGGGTAGTGAAGGGCGGGGTATAAATCCAATCTCTCCAGTTTGGTGTAGTGGTTAAGTGCGCGGACTCTAATCTGGGAGAACCAGGTTTGATTCCCCACTCCTCCTCCGCTTGCACCTGGCTGGATGACCTTGGGCAAGCCGTAGTTCTGATAAGAGCTGTCCTTGAAAAAGAGCCGTTTCTGTCAAGAGCTCTCTCAGCCCCACCCACCTCACAGGGTGTCTGTTGTGGGGAGGGGAAGGGAAAGGAGCTTGTCAGCCGCTCTGAGACACCTTTGGGTAGTGAAGGACGGGGTATAAATCCAAACTTTTCTCTCTTCTTCTTCCTATCTGGTAGGTCAAGAAGCTCCAGACAGCTTTTCACCCAGGATGAGGGGCTGAGGTGCCTCCTAGCATGGCAGTCAGAATGCTTAGACTCTTCCTGGTACACACGTCCCTTGGAATATAAGCTATGTTTCTAGGCAAAAGCAATGCCTAGGCTGCAAAGCCTTGTGAGAAGATGAACCCACGAAAGGGGGGGGGGGAAGGCTAATACAGAATGAACCAGAGACAACAGATGCCCAGTCTCAGTTTCCATAAAATGCTCCCACATTTTGTAAAAGGTAACATGAGGCATTAAGCAGGACACATGAGGCATTAATCTATCTCACTGCCATGGTGAATGAGCCGTGAACATGAGACGCTTTCACAGAGTACAGATGAAATATATATAAGAGGGGAGGGTGGCCTCGAAGGAGAGCAATAGGCACAGAGAAGGTCCTCTTCCAGGGCAGCGACCATAATGACCACAAAAGGGCAGGGTCAGTTACTTCAACAGGTTTCCTTCCTGTGATCGGAAGGCTCTTCGCCTGTGTGAACCCTGTAGTGGGAGGGAAGGCATCGATTTTGACTGAACCTCTTTCCATGTTCCAGGCGTTTAGACGGCTTCTCCCGTGTGAACCTTTTGATGTCGTCTTAGGTCGCCACTTCGAGAGAAGCACTTTCCACACTCCGGGCATTTATATGGCTTCTCCCCGGTATGAATCCTTTGATGAGCATTTAGGGTGTCGTTCCGAGAGAAGCACTTTCCACAGTCCAAGCATTTATAGGGCTTCTCCCCAGTATGAACCTTCTGATGTACATTTAGGTCACCATTCCGAGAGAAGCACTTTCCACACTCCAGGCATTTATGTGGCTTCTCCCCTGTGTGGACCCTTTGATGTGCATTTAGGGTATCGTTCCGAGAGAAGCACTTTCCACACTCCAAGCATTTATAGGGCTTCTCCCCAGTATGAATCTTTTGATGTATACTTAGGTCACCATTCCGAGAGAAGCACTTTCCACAGTCCAAGCACTTATATGGCTTCTCCCCTGTGTGAACTTTTTGGTGTGCATTTAGGATGGCACTCTGAGAGAAGCATTTTCCACACTCCAAGCATTTATATGGCTTCTCCCCTGTATGAATCTTTTGATGTCTTTTTTGGTCGTTACTCCGAGAAAAGCACTTTCCACACTCCAAGCATTTATATGGCTTCTCCCCTGCATGAACCTTTTGATGTCTCCTTAGGCTGACATTCAGAGAGAAACACTTTCCACACTCCAAGCATTTATATGGCTTCTCCCTGGTGTGAACCTTTTGATGTATAGTTAGGTCACATTTCTGACTGAAGCACTTTCCACACTCCATACATTTATATGTTTTCTCTCCAGTATGGATCTTTTTATGTGCATTTAGGCTGCCATTCCGAAAGAAGTACTTTCCACACTCCAGGCATTTATATGGCTTCTCTCCTGTATGAATGTTTTGATGTGCTTTTAGACTGTCATTCCGAGAGAAGCACTTTCCACACTCCAAGCATTTATGTTGCTTCTCTACTGCATGAATGTTTTGATGTGTTTTTAGATTGTCATTCCGAAAGAAGTACTTTCCACATTCCAAGCATTTATATGGCTTCTCTCCTGTATGAATATTTTGATGTGCTTTTAGGGCGTCATTCCGAGAGAAGCACTTTCCACACTCCAAGCATTTATACGGCTTCTGTCCTGTATGGATGTTTTGATGTATTTTTAGGTTGTCATTCCGAGAGAAGCACTTTCCACACTCCAGACATTTATACGGCTTCTCTCCTGCATGAATGTTTTGATGTATTTTTAGGTTGTCATTCCGAGAGAAGCCCTTTCCACACTCCAGGCATTTATACGGTTTCTCTCCTGCATGAATGTTCTGATGTATTTTTAGGTTGTCATTCCGAGAGAAGCACTTTCCACACTCCAAGCATCTATATGGCTTCCCCCCAGTATGAATTTTTCGATGTGCAATTAGGTGGCCATTATTGGAGAAGCACTTTCCACACTCCAAGCATCTATATGGCTTCCCCCCAGTATGAATTTTTCGATGTGCAATTAGGTGGCCATTATTGGAGAAGCACTTTCCACACTCCAAGCATCTATATGGCTTCCCCCCAGTATGAATTTTTCGATGTGCAATTAGGTGGCCATTATTGGAGAAGCACTTTCCACACTCCAAGCATTTGTATTTTTCCCCTGTGTGAATCCTTTGATGCCTACTTCTTCCACTACTCCAATGGAAGCACTTTCCACATTCCACACATTGATATCTTTTCCAGCATGATGTAACATTCTGATATGTTTTAACACTGAATTTGCAGCTGTGCCCATTTTGGTTCATGGCACCATTAGGCCTTCTCTTTCGCTTCCCTGTTTCATCTTGGGCTGAGACCTCAGGCCTATTTCTGCTCTGACAGGCTACCAATTCCTTCCTTTGCCTCTGTTTTGTTTCCCTTTTTCTTCTGTAATACTTCTTTGGTACCACTTGACCACCATATTTTGCTTCCGCCTGCAGATTGTTGTCTTCCACAAGTCTCCTTCCTGATTCCTTCTCATTACCCATCTTCCTCACATCTGCAACTGCAAAAGAGAGACAGAAATCATGTAAGAATCAAAACGTACAAAAGCCAGTTAACAGGTAAAGTAAGTAGTGAATGGTATTTTCTGCAATGTGAACCCAGGGCCTGGAAGACATCAGCAATATTTAAACACAAAACATGACAACTTGGAAAAGGAGAAATGAATGACCAAAGGAAGAGGCAGGAGATCTCTTGCTTCTGTTGCAGAAAGGTGCTCTTGAGACCACATTAAGGTTAATAAGTTTTCTGGTGTTTATTTGGGGAACACATACAACAGAAGAGAAATGCTTTAACAATCTTGAATTTTATTGAAAGATTTTTGTATAAACGAAAAGAATAAAATATGGAACACTTAAATCTAGAGATTGGCAACATGAACAAACAAGGTAGATCTTTCTACAAACCTGGAAAATGACCCAGGCTTGCAGAAAAATCTGGGGGGGAGTACATTGGGGGTTACACCCCCAAAAAATAATAGAAGCAGAGCCTGTAACATAAGAAACAAAGGCCTTCAGTGGCCATTTTGAGGCCACCAGACAGTATTGTCAGCCTTCAAGCCTTGGTTTCTGTCAGTTAGAGGCAGGGGCAGGTGACAGTGCCCTTTAGAGGGTTGCTTTGGCCCTTGAGGAAAGCCTACCCTGGACCAGGTCCAGCAGCGAACGGAGCCAGGCCACAATATCACACGACTTACCTGACTCACCCAAGACTGGCTGCTTGCTACTGTTCAACAACAGTCACACTGCAAAAGCCAGTGTGGTCTCGTGATCAGAGTTTCAAACTACGGTCTGGGAGACCCAGATTGGAACCCCCATTTTGCTCCAGAAGCAAACTGGGTGACTTTGGACCGAACACAGACATACATACAGCCTAGCCTACTTTACAGGGTAGTTGTGAGTATAAAATGGGAGTAGCCAGGGTTCCCACTAAAATTTTATTTTTCCTTTCCCTGACCAACATTTGTTGATTTCCCTGACCACCATACAAATATAACCACGTTAAAAAATGAATAGCTCAATGCTCCTTCTAAGCTGTGGAGTCTTGTGAGTAAAAATCCTACTTCGTGAGCTACTGGCATGAAAGTTGTGAGCGAGCGATTTGGCTGCTGCATAAATTAGTTTGCTCCAGAGCCCTCCTCTCTGAGCTAAGACAAGAATGTGTGAGCCGGAGGCTAAAAAACTGTGAGCTGGCTCACACTAAGCTTAGAGGGGACACTGTTCATATTGCATTAATGCAAGGTAAGGTTCCACTGTACAACTACTCTACAAGTCTCAACTGCAAAAAAATTAAATGATTTAATATCAGTTTCCTTCAACATTAACTGCAACAACATCTGTTTTTGCAATTGCACCAAAAATTACACCAAGATACAAATTTCAATTCAAGTAAAACTCTGATTGCTAACAAATGACATAACATTATTGTTATTGTTTTAAAGGTACACTAAAAATTATATAAATGTTCTATCTAAAATGTTTGGGAAAGGGCATCATTGAGTTCTACTTGTATTCTGCTACACAAGAACAGAGCATGCTCCTGCAGCAGCAGGTCAAAAATCCACTGCTTGAATATATTTTTATTTATTTATTTATTTGTTAAACTTATATCCCGCCCTCCCCCGTAGGGCTCAGGGCGGCTTACATGGCAAGAAATCTTGCAGTGATAAAACATCAAATAATTTAGTAACATTTAAAACACGTTATACAATTTAAAACCATTTCAGTACTATAAAGTGCTCAGAAAAACCTCAATTCCAGAACCTCAAGGGAGATGATAACCACATCCAAACATCCCTGTAGGCATTTCGTGTCTTCAAAAATTAGATGTAAATTCAGATGTTTCTTCCATCCGTCCCAGGGCCCTTCCCCCCCCATGATGGCAATATAACAGGGGGGGTGGCGGCGGCCCCTAACCAAAAGCCTGGTGGAAGAGCTCCGTCTTGCAGGCCCAGGGCCCGCAGGGCCCGGACCCCCCCCGGGAGTGTGTCCCCCCGGGCGGGGGCCGCCACCGAAAAAGCCCTAGCCCTCGTGACGGCCAATTTGGCATCTTTGGGGCCCGGTACAGTTAGTAAATTTCAGGCCCCAGACTGTAGTGCTAACCCTAACCCTTTAATCACCATTTCCCTGATTTCAGACCAATTTCCCTGACTTTCCCGGACCAATTTTCATTTCCCAGACTTTCCAAAAAGTGGCAACCCTGAGTAGCAGACAATCCATGTATGCTGCTTTGAATGACTAGTAGTAAGGAAAGTGGAGTATAAAGAAAATAAATTATCAACATAGCTGAACACTGGGGAGGGGGCAAGTTAAAGGATAGGTTGGTCGGTGGGAAGGTACCAGAAAGGAAAACATGGAAAGTGGAGCGTGCGGGGGCTGCTGGGGGGGGGAGAAAATAAAGGACTCCCCACAATTCCTTGCCGGTTCCCCACGATGCAACTGGGCCCTGCCTGGCTACCACCACACAACTGGACCCACCCCTAGTGACTGAGCCAGATTTTTTTCCCGGGCTGAGGCTGCTGGGGAAGGGAAGGAGGAGAAGGTGAGGATGGGGGACAAATAAAGGTAGATTGGTTGGGGGGATGGGAAGACGGAAAGGACACAGAGAAACGTGAAGATAATGAGGGTTGCCAGGAAAGAAAGAGGGAAGAGTGTTGGATAAGGGATACAGTGGGAAATGAGGTGTCCTCCAGAAACTGTGCCAAACATGAAAAGAACAGGAATGTGCCGGGCCAGGCAACCTGAGACCTCCCCCGAATGTGCCGGGCCAGGCAACCTGAGACCCCCCCCCCCCCCCGCCCTGCCCCCCTGCATGATTTTTTTATTGGAAATTATGGCTGACAACGGAAGGCATAACTCCTCAAAAATAAAGGTAGGCATCTCAATGTCAGACACCCACTGCGGGATGATGGGGCTTGAAACGCAAAAAATGAAGGGAATTGAACCGTTCTGGCACAAATTAGCCCTATGGCATTCCTCTGCTATTTGCAATGGAAGCAAAGGTTTACTCTCGAGAAGCCAGGAAAGTGCTGCAGCACAGACAGGGAGGGTGGGAAATACCTCGTCTCTACAAACCAAACAGGATTCAGGAGCTTCCCTGAGCTATCAGATCCAGTGTTGTGTCGTGGTTAGAGCAGGGGTGTCGAACTCATTTGTTACGAGGGCCAGATCATGTGTGTCATAAAATGTAATGCCAGGTGGCAGAGATATAAGTTTTATAAATGACACAAACACACAGATATTTTTTCTTAAATCACAAACATGATTAAAACATGAGCACTCTTGCAATATCTTGTTTATTTAACAGTCTTTGATAACTGACACCTCTTGCGCTGAATTACTGCATCAAAATCTGGAGAAAATATCTATGCTTTAGCAATCTTGAGTATGCTGTTCAGGTATGTTGTTCAGGTATGTTATCTGTAAACTGCAACCTACTTTTGATTCATTGATCTTCGTTACAGAAATCTCACGGTCAATGCTCTGAGCCTGGAACCCAGCGGAACACATGAAATGGCTGGGCATTGCAAGCTTTTGTACACAGAGTGAGGGCTATGTGTTTGTCTACAAAACTATAGACTTCTTCAGAAAAATAACTACAACTCCTATGAGGCAGTGCAACAGAGAGACAGCAATGTACAGTGGTCAGGATCAGCCAACTATCTGGGAAGCCTAAGTTCAAAATCCCCAGTCTACAAAGGAAATGTGTTGAGTGAACACCACTCCCTCCCTTCTCTTCCGTGACCATAACAGAAGGGGGAACATCCTTACCCAGAGAGGCCACAGTCTTGAAATTTTCCTTTGTAACATCCCAGTAGAGTTTTCTTTGGCCTGGATCCAGCAGAGCCCATTCCTCCTCCGTGAACAACACGGCGACCTCCTCAAAGGACACCGGGGATCTCTGAAAGACGAAAATAAGGCCCAGTTGATCATCTATTCCTGTCCCCGACCATTCAAGCAAGAAAGAAGAATCCTATCGGCCAGTCAACTGATTAAAGGACGCAATACATCAAACCGATGGTAAGGAGAGCTGCATCCGTTTCTTTTCCAGAGCCTGACAGGTATTATATTTCAGTACCTGTCTTCAGTATATAAAACATTCAGTATATAAACTGACGTTCAGTATATAAATGTTCAGTATATAAACGCAAGACAGTTGCAAAGAACAGGGCTTCTCTTAGTCGGATCCAATGAAATGTGGGAGAAAAAATAATAGACTGTATAGCTGACATTCTACCACCATCCACTTTTAACCCCAGAAATACATGGAAATGTTCTGCTTCAACCATTTTTGTCTGCAGAGGCATTCTGTGTTACTCTAAAGGTTGCATCCAGCTGTGTAAGATAAACTGCCCTAATGAAAGTCATGGTGTTTTGTGTTCACCCCAGGCTGTGTGATCCTTGGGGCTTGGTGGGTGAGGAGATGGGATGTATACCCCGCCCTTCACTACCCAAAAGTGTCTCAGAGCGGCTTCCAAACTCCTTTCCCTCCCCCTCCCCACAACAGACACCCTGTGAGGTGGGTGGGGCTGAGAGAACTCTGACAGAAACTGCTCTTTTTCAAGGACAGCTCTTATCAGAACTACGGCTTGCCCAAGGTCATCCAGCAGCTGCAAGTGGAGGAGTGGGGAATCAAACCCGGTTCTCCCAGATTAGAGTCCGCAAACTTAACCACTACACCAAAGAGATTGAATTTTTACCCCACCCTTCACTACCTGAAGGAGTCTCAGAGCGGCTTACAATCTCCTTCCCCTTCCCCTCCCCACAACAGACAACCTGGGAGGTAGGCGGGGCTGAGAGAGGTCTTGACAGAAACGACTCTTTTTCAAGGACAGCTCTTATCAGAACTACGGCTTGCCCAAGGTCATCCAGCCAGGTGCAAGTGGAGGAGTAGTGGGGGAATCGAACCCGGCTCTCCCAGATTAGAGTCCGCGCACTTAACCACTCCACCAAACTGGAGAGAGGCGCAGGGCACAAAACACTCAGCACAAACCTGCTGCCTCAGAGACCTTTCCAGGTATTTGTGCACTGAGGAATAACAGCAGTTGGTACATCGTGTCCTTGAACTGCAACTAAGCTACTGCGTCCTCTGAACAGATTTTGGCCGCTTATAATAGAAACGCCTTAAGGCAAAGATAAATGCGTGCCTGTGTGTGTAAGTGCTGTCAAGTCGCTTCTGAGTTATGGGGACCCTAGAAAAACATTGTGCCCTTCAGAGCCTTGCTCGGGTCTTGCAAACTGAGGGCTCTGGTTTCCTTGATGGAGTCCATCCATCTCATGCTGGCTCTTCCCCTTTTCCTGCCGCCTTCAACTTTTCCTAGCATTACTGTCGTTTCTAGGGACTCTTGTCTTCTCATACTGTGGCCCCACTGGTGGACCTCCTGATGGCACTGGTATTTCTGGCCACTGTGGGATACAGAGTGTTGGACTGGATGGGCCTTTGGCCTGATCCAACATTGGCATCTCTTATGTTCTCTTATGTTCTTATGTTCTTAAGTACGATAGCTTGGTCACTAGCGACAAGGCCTTACTCTTAAGAATCCTTCCTAGCCAGTTTGGTGTCGTGGTTATGTGCGCGGACTGTAATCTGGGAGAACCGGGTTTGATTCCCCATCCCTTCACTTGCACCTGGCTGGATGACCTTGGGCAAGCCGTAGCTCTGATAAGAGCTGTCCTTGAAAAAGAGCCGTTTCTCTCAGAGCTCTCTCAGCCACACCTCCCTCACAGGGTGTCTGTTGTGGGGAGGGGGAGGGAAAGGAGATTGGAAGCTGCTCTAAGACTCTGTTGGGTAGTGAAGGGCCATGGGGCATAAATCCAATCTCTCCAGTTTGGTGTCATGGTTAAGTGTGCAGACTCTAATCTGGGAGAACCGGGTTTGATTCCCCACTCCTTCACTTGCACCTGGCTGAATGACCTTGGGCAAGCCGTAGCTCTGATGAGAGCCGTCCTTGGAAAAGAGCAGTTTCTGTCAGAGCTCTCTCAGCCCCACCTGCCTCACAGGCAGTGTTCCCTCTAAGCTGAGTTAGTGTGAGCTAGCTCAGAGTTTTTTAGCCTCCAGCTCCCACATTTTTGTCTTGGCTCAGGAAGGATGACTCCAGAGCCCACTAACTTATGCAGCAGCCAAATTGTTCGCTCACAATTTTAATGCCAGGAGCTCAAAAAATAGAATTTTTGCTCACAAGACTCCATAGCTTAGAGGGAACATTGCTCACAGGGTGTCTGTTGTGGGGAGGGGAAGGAGTTTGTCAGCCGCTCTGAGACACCTTTGGGTAGTGAAGGGTGGGGTATAAATCCAATCTCTTCTTCTTCTTTATAGCCACTCTTCCCAGTATCAGCCTCCTTCTGATTTCTTGGTTGCAATCTCCCTTTTGGTTGATGATGAAGCTAAGGAATAGAAAAACTTGAACAACTTCAGTTTTTTCATCATCAACCTAAAAGCTGTGTACGCTAGTACTCCTTACGTCTGTCTTCTCCACGTTCAGCTGTAACCTTGATTTAGCACTTTTTGTTTTGTTTTAACCTTCAACAGGAGCTGTTTCACGTCTTCACTGTTTTCTGCCAGCAGTGCCGTGTCATCTAAACATCTCAAAGTGTTAATGTGACTTCCACCCATTTTCACTCCAGCTTCATCTAAATCTAATTAAAGATGTGAAGGCCCGGAAAAACCCAGAAAATTCAGGAAAAAACCCAGTTTTTCCCCCTGAAGCCTTCCCCCCCCCCACGAAAAATTAGAAAAATTGAAAAAAGAAAAAAAATTGAAAAAGAAAAAACGTTTTGTTTTAACATGATGAATAAAATATTTTTTAAGACAAGGTTTCAAATATTTTCCAAATCATTTCTAAAAAATATGTATGGTATCAGATTAATCTAATTTCTGTGCACTGAGGACAAGCAAGTCCTAGGTTACAAACTGAACTCTCCAATGGATAATGACAGACACAACGGAGTAGCTGCAGAAGCAGAGACTGAAACTGATAATTACAGCTCAGAAAATGATTCTGATTAAATTTCATGCCCATCCATTGAAACTTAGTCCCACACTCCCTTCTATACACTTCCGCCCTCTTCAATTCTTTTTATGAGAATGGTTTTTTTATTATTTAATACTGTGGAGAGGAAATATGAATAATTGTTACTTCTGGATTTTTAAAAATTGTTTTGTGGAGGTTTTTTTGTCTGTTCCACATAAACCAGTAAACAGTTCAGGAGACTGTTGCTCCATTTGTTACAATTACAAATAAATATTATTTAAAAAGTAAATTCTGTTTGTAATAACTGTTTGGATACACTGTATTTTTAATATGCTAGCTGTGATAATTTCATGCCAAGTAAAATTGTCCATAGTCATATTTTATGTTCCTAAAGTAACAGAATGACTTCCAATCTGGAAAAGAAAAAATAAGTGCTAATGTAGAATTTTTTTTCAATTTTTCCGAAAATTTCTGTTTTTTTCCACATTTCAAAATTTCCGGAAATATTACATCTCTAAGTCTAATCCAGCTTTCCTTAGGATATGTTCTCCATACAGATTGAAGAGACAGGGAGACAAAATGCATCCTTCTCTGGCACCTTGGCCATCTAGAAAACCCTTGTCTCTCCATATTCTGTCCTTACAGGGCTCTCTTGTCTGGAGTACAGGATGTGCATCAGAACAAAGAAAAAGCACTGCAGAAACATTACTAAGTTGGGGGAAAGGAAATTATTTTTCTCTATAATAACAACATGAAAGCGAGGAGCCTCAAAACTGGCCACCCACTTCAGCAATAAAGAATACAAACACTGTGCCCCAGATTCGCCCCAGAACAACCCCCCGCTATTCTGCAAGGGAAGCAACAATTTACTCCCAAGACATCAGGAAGGTGGAGGCAGCAGGGATCGGGGCAGATCCCCCCTTTCAGAAAACAAACCTAGAGACCAGTTTCCAGTTCACGGGACGTCCTGAGGGTGATGCTCACTGGAGTCATATTCTAGAGGAAGCGACAGTAGGTATTTAAAATCCCACCATTATAGGAGCAAAACATGGCCAAATGGGCCTTTTGGGTTTGGCCAAAAAACAAAACAGTGAGCGCAGCAAGCTATGGGGGATGGTAAGAAAGGTAATTAACCCTCCTGGATCAGACCAAGGGTCCATCCAAACGTAAAGAATAAAGAGAAGTCCAAGCTCGTTGTATGGGATATAAATTGCATGAATGAATGAATGAATGAATGAATGAATGAATGAATGAATGAATGAATGGGTGAAAATACAAGTAACCAGTCCTCCACACACACACACACCCCATGCACAGATCTTGGCCAGAAAGCCTCTCTCTTTATGAGTCCTCTGGCCAACTCTTCTTCCTCCAGTCCTATTCACACATATTGAGGAATTTCAGACAGGCGATATATTCTAATTCAGGAACAGTTCCCAAACGGTTTCTGGTCTGACATTTCAGACAGAACCATTTTAGAACCAGTTCCCTACAGGAATATATTTGTACTTTCACACACAAACGCTTCTGTCCCGTTCAGGAAACGGGGCTGAACCGTTTTACCTGTAAACCACTTCCAAGTCGTCTTCAGTTTCTTCTCCCAGATCCGAAATACTTTTTCCCGCCGTTTTTCGCCCGCACTGGCGATCTCCAGCTTTTTTTTAAAGTTCACTTTAGAGCGCTATAGTGCTATAGCGCTATGACACAACAGCAAAACAGCATTATAGCAACCCCATTGGAATGCCTTGAGTGTTGTGTTATAGCGCTATAGTGCTCTAAAGCGAACGTTAAAAAAAAAGCCGGAGATCGTCTGCACGGGCAAAAAAATGGCAGGAAAAAGCAGTGCAGTCTGAAATGGCAAACTGCTTCATATCCAGCTGTTTACTGGTAGGGGAAAGCCATGTGTGAAATGGCAGCCCTATACCAGTTTAATCCACGACGGATCAAAAACAGCTTCAAACCGGCTTAAAAAGGGTAAAGTGAAATTCCTCATTGTCTCTCCCCTCCCCTATTCTTGCCCAAGAGCTGTGGATGAAATCCTAAACTCACCTTTCCTGCAGACAAGCCGAGGCCAAATCCACCCTCCATCCAGGGGAAACAAGAAAGTAGAGAGGCCCCGTGGAACTGCGTATCCCCTAGATTTCCATCTCCATCTTGAGGAAAAACCATGCCCTTGGCCGCTAGAAAAGGCCGGGTTGATCTCTCTGGTGCTCGCAAGTCCTTCTGGGAAATGTAGTCCCCTGCAACGGCAACACCCAAATGGAATTCAAAAACGGAAGTATTTGGGAATGTGGAATAGAAGGTTTCTTTGCTCATTTGTCGTTCTGTGGGGCTGCCTCCTGTGTGTGTGTGAACAGATCTTCTTCCTTGTTTTATCAACCCCCCCTGCTTCAGTGACCTTTTCAGGCTCAATGCAAAACTTGCCTCGCTGCAGTGACCCAAAGCCTTTACACTCATTGCCCTCTGAACATCTTGTCACCCGTGTTCCGTCTAAGCTGGGTTAGTGTGAGGCAGCTCACAGTTTCTTAGCCTCCAGCTCACATATTTTTGTCTTAGCTCAGGAAGGATGAATCATAGAATCATAGAGTTGGAAGGGACCTTACAGGTCATCTAGTCCAGCCCCCCGCACTCTGCAGGAGCAGAGCCGAAAGAGAGCCCTGCAACATACAGAAAGATGGTTGTCCAGCCTCCGCTTGAAAACGTCCAGCGAAGGAGCATCTACCACCTCCCGAGGCAGTCTGTTCCACTGCTCAACCACTCTGACAGTTAGGAAGTTTTTCCTGATCTTTAGCCAGTAACGACTCCCTGGTAATTTCCACCCATTAGATCTAGTCTTGCAATCCGGAGCAAGAGAGAATAGATCTGCTCCATCTTCTACATGACAGCCCTTCAGATACTTGAAGCCTGCAATGCTGTCCCCTCTAAGCCTTCTCTTTCCCAGTGTAATGTATTCAGCCTGACATGCCCGGACTTGCCCGGGCTGGCCAGGCACAACTCTTCAATAGCTTCATGTCCAAAGACAATGGGTCCGTAGGATCCTAGCCGGCCCAATCAAAGGGCCAGCTTCTCAGCCGGGAGACCAATGGTCGCCCGGTTACTGTAAATAGCCTATCGGGAGTAGGGGGTGTGTTTAGGTGTACTTGGTGGCGGGTTTTCTGAACATATATAACCAGCCTGCGAGCTGGTCCCTTCGTCTTTGTCCTGAACTAAATAAAGGTATGCTTAGCTGAAATCACTCTCCGTCTGCATACTTTTCACTGGCGACGAAGGTGGGATCCACGACCCCATGAACAAAGACCCGGACGCCAACGCGAGCACCGCACCGAGCCCCGACGCCGAGACCTCCGGGAACCGCGCCGCTTCGCTTCCCAGCTCTCCGGCAACCGCTCATCGCGCAGCTCCCGGCTCCGCTTCGCTCCCTGCTGACCCCGAGAGCAGCAGCGGCCTCCACAACGCTCCCGACGCCATCGCCGTTCCAGAGGCCACCCCACCACGTGGCGACAGTACAATGGCGACCGCGACCGCAACAGAAAGCCTGCCCGCTTTCGATCTCTCCCAGCCCTCGCTGTGGGACACCTGGCTGGACACGCTGGAGAGCCGCTTCACCATCCACAAGGTGGTGGATGACGCGATGAAGAAGGCTTACCTGCTGAGCCACTGCGGAATCCAGACCCATCGGCTCCTCAAGGACTTAATCTCGCCCAAACTAACGAAGGACGAGTCATACAGCTCCTTAGTCCAGGCCCTGACCGACCACCTGGCTCCCAAACCCACGAAGTACGTGGAGCGGTTGGACTTCTTCGCAAGAGTTCAGGCCTCCGGCGAAACCACCTCCGATTTTCTGGCGGCGCTGCGGAGCCTGGCGACCCGATGCTCCTTCCCCAGCCTCGACGATACCCTCCTGAACCAGTTCCTCGTCGGACTCCGGGAGCCGAAGCTGCAGAGGAAACTGGTGAGCCAGAACGATCTGAGCCTGGACAAGGCCATCCGGGAGGCCTCAGCATACGAACAAGCGCGACAAGACCGCCGCGCCAAGGCGGTCCACCGTACCCAAGTGAGCAGCGGCTCCGACGTCTCGGACCAAGAGGAAGTCCTGCAACTCCGACAGCGGACTCAGCAGCGATCAAAACACGTATCCTCCAGGACCTCCAAGGCCCCGTCTCCAAGTCAGTGCGCCAGCTGCGGGGAGGATCACGAACGCAGGTCGTGCCGTTTCCGGAATGCGGTCTGCCGTTCCTGCAACAAGGCAGGACACATCGCCAAGGTCTGCCGGTCCAAGGGACAACGACCGAGATCGGCCACCCACCAGACCACCGCGGAACTGCCCCTGGAGCTCCACACCGTGTCGTCCCACTTTCCACAGCACCAGGTCTGTAACCTGCCCCCCGACGGCCCAAATAAAATGCATGTGACGGTCCTCATAGAGGGAGCCCCCTGCACCATGGAGATCGACACCGGGTCGACCTACTCCATAATATCCGCGGACACGCTCCGTGCACTGTGTCCTCGGGGGGGGCCACCACTACAGAAGTCACGGGGTTTCCGGTTACGGGACTTTAACAAAAACCCCGTGGCGGTGGTGGGCTGGGGCAAGTTCCGGGTCCAGTTTCAGGGTTTCAAGGGCCAACTGGACCTACTGGTTGTGGACCGGCCCCTCTCCAGCTTGTTGGGACTGGCCTGGTTCAAGGCCCTGGGGCTCTCCGTTACGGGCATCAACCAGGTTGGAGCGCAGGATTTCGGGGCGGTGTGCGCAGAATTTCCCCGCATCTTCGATGGGACCCTGGGGCGGTACACGGGCCCTGCCATTTCCCTGGACCTAGACCCCGCGATACGCCCCATCCGCATCAGGGCCCGGCTGCCCCCGATCTCCATGAGGCCGAAGGTGGAGGCCGAGCTCGATCGCCTAGTTGAGCAAGGCGTGCTAGAACCGGTGGCGTCGGCCCGGTGGGAGACCCCCATTGTCACACCACTCAAGCCGAACGGGGACGTCCGCATCTGCGCGGACTATAAATGCACCATAAACAAAGCCCTGCAGCCCCACGCGTACCCGGTGCCGGTAGTAAGCCAAGTGCTGGCAGCCCTGGCAGGGGCTCGGGTGTTCGGCAAACTGGACTTGGCCCAGGCGTACCAGCAGCTACCGGTGGACGCCGCCACGGCCGAGGCACAGACCATTGCGACCCACAAAGGGGCCTTCAAGGTGCACCGCCTCCAGTTCGGGGTCTCAGTCGCGCCGGGGATCTTTCAATCTTTTATGGATTCCCTCCTTAAAGGCATCCCCGGAGTTCAGCCGTTTCTAGACGACGTGCTGATCGCCGCGCCAGACCCCTCGTCCTTCGCAGACCGTCTGAGGGCCGTTTTACAACGCTTCGACGCGGCGGGCCTCAAGGTGAAACGGGAGAAGTGCCTACTGGGGGTGCCGCGGGTGGAGTTTCTGGGCTTCGCGGTGGACGCCGCCGGCCTGCACCCCTCCCAGGACAAGGTAGAAGCCATCACACACGCCCCGGCCCCGAAGTCCAAAACGGAGCTACAGGCGTTCCTAGGCCTGGTGAACTTCTACCACTCCTTTTTGCCCCTGAAGGCGGCCGTCGCGGAGCCGCTCCACCGCCTCCTCGACAAGTCGGCGCAATGGGCCTGGGGGCCACCACACGACGCAGCTTTCCAAACAATAAAGGACCTCCTGGTCTCTAATGCGGTCCTCGCCCATTTTGACGAGGCCCTTCCCGTGGTACTGGCGTGCGACGCTTCCCCCTATGGGGTCGGGGCGGTCCTGGGGCACAGACTACCGGATGGTCGCGAGGTCCCGGTGGCCTACTACTCGCGGACACTGTCGTCGGCCGAGCGCAACTACGCGCAGATCGACAAGGAGGCGTTGGCAATCGTGGCAGGGGTGAAAAAATTTCACCACTACTTGTACGGCCCCTGCTGGGCCTCCTCGCACCCGACCGGCAGACACCGCAGATAACCTCGCCCAGGGTGCTACGCTGGTCCATCTTCCTGGCGGGGTATGCGTACGACCTCGTCCATCGGCCCGGAAAGGCGATGGGCCACGCCGACGCACTGAGCCGCCTGCCCCT